GAGAAATAAAAATATGAAGCTATGGTACCATCTGATATTCAGCAGATCTACAGCCTGAAGGAAACATCAGTTTCTTAGTTCAAACACACCTTTGTAAAAAGGTGCAAATGATACTTAATGTATCAATTAATAAGACTAAGTTTGATACTTGCACGTCTTGTCTGTCTGAAAGAGAGTCCTGATGCAATCTGAAGGCTCAAGTTGATCTTTGCTGAAGTTGGTTGATGGAAAAAGAACCAGTTTGAGTCAGAGGATCTTGGTGAATGGAAAGTCAAGGCCGAAGCCTGGCGCGAACTTAGGGTGTCCTTAAGAGTGTTCTAGCTCACTGCTAGATTGCAGACTGGAGGCGGGTCACTGATGTGAAGCCTTTAAGGCCTGACAATATTCACGCCTCTCAGGATGAGCTTGTCCAATGAGAAAGGCTGAAATTCCAAGCGGGAGTTTGGAAATACTGGGGAGTTTTATGACCCTTTGTGTGAGGGCATGGTTGATTGCCATGGAACCAGAGGCCTGTTCTGCCTTTCGGAGATGTTAGATGCATTTCGGGAGAAGGGTCCATATACCCTCGTAATTGGCCCTTTGTTTAGGTGAGGGGGTGTTGGATATTATTTGTTAAATATAACAAATAGTTGTGTGTCTGATTGGTCCAAATGCTACAGTATATCCATTCAAATGTTGGGGTCATTACGACTTTTTTTCTTTTATTAATCAATTGATTAAATTGATCAAAAGTGAAAGTAAAGACATTAATAATGTTACAAAATATTTCCGTTTCTAATAAATGCTGTACTTTAGAACTTTATATTCATCAGCGTATCCTGAAAAAATATATTTTCCATGAAAATATTTAGCAATACAACTTTTTTCAACATTGATAGTAATAAATGAGCAGCAAATCAGCATATTAGAATGATTTCTGAAGGATCATGTGACACTGAAGACTGGAGTAATGATGCTGAAAACTCAGCTTTGACATCACAGGAATAAAATTAAAATTTTCAAATATATTATAATAGAAAATACGTATTTGAAATTGTAATAATATTTCACAATATTACAGTTTTTACTGTTCTTTAATTAAATAAATGCAGCCTTGGTGAGCACAAGAGACTTCTTCCAAAACATTAAAAAATCTTACTGATTTAAACCTTTTGAATGGTAGTGTATAATAATTATTTGATGTTGTTGTTATATTATATAATTTTTAAAAACAAATATTTATCTATATTACACACACAAACACACATATATCAAATTATAAAATTATATATAAATATTATATATATATATATATGTATATATATATATGTATGTATATATATATGTGTATATATATATATATTATAAATGTATACAATTATAAAATACACATTAATAAAATTATAAAATAAACCTTCATTCATATTTTAGTGCAACTGAAAGGCCAGTGTATTTTAAAATCTCATTCTAGAGTAGCCGTGACAATGAAACCTTTGTCTTTAATTTGCAGGACTATCAGGAGGCCACGCATCTGGAGCAGTTTGTGACACGTTTCCTGTTGAAGGAGACCACCAGTCAGCTGCAGTCTCTCCAGAGCTCTCTGGAGTGTGCCATGGAGACCACAGCTGAACAGACCCGGCAGGAGAGGCAAGCCACCCAGAACACACGCTTACATTTTTTTAAAGCATACAGTTTCTAGTGTACATGTGGAGTGAGCAGGAGATGAGTGCATTTTCAATTCATTGTCTTCAGAAGCTGAACGTCAGGCTCTTTCAGGGGATTGTCTGTGTGACAGCAGAGCAGAACTAGCAGTGGTATTATCATAACATTGAGATATGTTTGACTTAATACAAATCACATATTACATTATTTAATTCAGATTTTAAATGCTGTTTGAGTGCTTTCATTATAGCTAGACTGTGACAGGATTAATGATGAAATATTAAAATGACACTGTATGTATATGTTGGACTTCGACAAAGTATGCATTCTTCCAAATGAAATCATACACACACATCTGAAAAAAATTGGAATAATCACATTTTTGTAAAAAAAAATCTCTTATGCTCACCGAGACTGCATTTATTTGATTAAAAATACAGTAAACCCGTAATATTGTGAAATATTATTACAATTAAAAATAACTTTTCTATTTAAATATATTTTAAAATGTAATATAATCCTTTGATGCACAGCTGAATTTTCAGCATCATTACTCCAGTCGTCAGTGTCACATGATCCTTCAGAAATCATTCTAATATGCTGATTTGCTGCTCAAGAAACATTTTTATTATTATCAATGCTTGGAACAGTTGTGCTGCTTAATATTTTTGTGAAAACCCTGATACACTACTATTCAAAAGTCCAAGGTATATTTTTTAAAGGAAAGAAATTGATATTTCAACATTGATAATAATGAGAGCCATTATCAGTAATTTAATACCAATAATAATTTAGCAGCAAATTAGCATATAAGAATGATTTCTGAAGGATCTGAGTGATGATGCCATCATAGGAACAACTTCAATTTTAAAACACAATTAAATAGAAAACAGTTATTTTAAACTGTAACAATAATTCACAATATTACTGTTTTACTGTATTTATGATCAAAGTCCAAGGTATATTTTTTAAAGGAAAGAAATACATACTTTAATTCAGCAAAGATTGAAAAATATTTTCAACATTGATAATAATGAGAGCCATTATCAGTAATTTAATACCAATAATAATTTAGCAGCAAATTAGCATATAAGAATGATTTCTGAAGGATCTGAGTGATGATGCCATCATAGGAACAACTTCAATTTTAAAACACAATTAAATAGAAAACAGTTATTTTAAACTGTAACAATAATTCACAATATTACTGTTTTACTGTATTTATGATCAAATGGTCTTGGTGAGCATAAAAGACTTCTTTCAAAATCATTAAAGCAACTTAATTATTCCTAGCCTTTGACCGGTAGTGTATGTGATGACTTTATTGACTGTGTACTAAACGCAATCACACACTCCCAAAGTATCAAACCTCTAGCATTTTTAGTGATATTAAGTGGATTTCTTCTGCACCAGTGGACATGTAGTCTCCATAGATCTAAACATTCACTGTGGAAAATGCATGTAGACACAGACAGCAATTGTGCACTGACTCGAGCAAAGGGGATTCTGAGCACAGCCATCCTTGGTATTGAATATCTAGAGCATCAGTGGCATTAATTGTTAATAGACCAGGTGACAAGCAGACCATTGACCCAGGCCTTTGTTTTTGTGCAGAAAGGGGACAGATGCCAGCTTAAACCATCACCGAATCAACAGAACCTGCGTGTGCGCATGCATGTGTGATGTGCTTGATTAGCAGCTCATTTTGAGCTCACAGCGTCTCTGACTCACTGCATTTGTGTGCTGAGGAGGGTCTGCTGCATGGCCCACTGTGGGGGTCAGCAGCTCCTTATAGAGCGCAGAATTTAGAATACAAAATGAGTTGTTTTGTTCTAGCACCTGGATGATTGCATGCTAGAGAGTGCTGCGTGCCTGAGTCCGTATATGTGTGTATGTGTGTGTGTCACAACGTGCCCACTACCTCTCCTCCCTCTCAGTGTGCAGCAGCTGTGCTGCTCCGCTCACCTTATGATCTCAAGAAAATTAGCTGGAGCAGCTGGCCTAAAGAAATGAAGGATGCTGAGGTTTAAATGGAAGTGCTTCCTTTTCTTTTTCTGTCTGTACTTTAAACCACTCTGGTTCTCATATAGCCAGTCGCATCCTAATTAATTGGTACATTTAAATTACCTCATTATCGCTTCTGCAGGCGATACGGTGTGTCTAACTTAATAACTATGTGCCACTGAAATATACAGTTATTAGTAAAAACAGAGCCAATTATAGACACTATTTAGGGGGGCTCCAGCCCCTCCTGTGTTAAATTTCAGCTCTATTAAAATGTGTTATTTTATAATTTTTTAAAATGTTCTTCATGGTACTTAATAGAGTTTGAGGATATGTAACTCTGAAACCTATCTTACTTTTTATAAAACTTAAAGGGACAGTTCACCCACTAATGTCATTTCATGCATTCTGAGTTATTTACACTGTTAAGAGTTGGATTCTTATGCACGAGCGCACTCAGCAACCCAACCGAGAGCAAGAGCGCGCCGCTTAACGTGTTTCTTCCATGGTTACGGAAGTCATCGGCAGCACAGCAGTTACTTGCTCGAGAAGACTATGATGCTCGAGAGGAACTACACTAGCCTGCCTCCGGCTGGAGAGAGTAGCCGCTTGCTCCTGGTAATGACGCTCTCGCAGTGTTTGCATACTCTATCACAGATGAAGTGAATTAAACGTTTCTGAATAGACGTTTCAGAAACGTTTTCATAAAGCAACAGAAACACTTTTATATACTGCTTAATACAGCGCCATCTGTTCATGAATCAGTTCAACATTAGCATATGCTATTTAAATACCAATAAAGTGGGGGTATAAGTGGGGGTATGATAACTAAGCAAATATTCAATGATTTATTTGATCAACCATCATGGGATAGAACACACAGGATTGTGGGTATCAAGGCAGCGAAGGATGCATCTATTCTTCCTTTAAATATCGACCAGATGAAGGTATCTCAGGAGGCAGAAAATGAAGCTAACTTTCGATTCGACGTGTCTCGATGCCTTCCTACCTTGAAATGTGTCCTCCGAAGGCAGCATTTTCCAGTTTCGGATGCAGCCGTCAGTTCAGCGTTGATTCTGCTCAAACTGTATGCTAATTGTCAATCATATTTGACGATAGTGGTCCTGACAAAACTATCCCTTTAATTTCGTTACATCTTCCCTATTTTCAGAGACGAACTTTGTCATGGTATTTATTTATTTATTTATTTATTGGACTGTCATAAAATATAGTTAACATAAAATATAGGTTATGATATACTGTAGGAATCTACAATAAATTCTCATTTGTTAACATTATTTAAATATATTAGATAATGTGAATGAAAAAAAGAACAATGATTTATTGCATTTATTAATCCTATAGTATTATTTTTTTTAAATCAAAATATTTATCTGTTAGCATTAGTTAATGCACTGTAAACTAACATGAACAAATAACAAAATTTTCTTTTAGTTTATTTTATTAGCTAACTTTTGCAAAGTTTAAAAAATGCAGAATTGTTAATGTTAGCTAATGCATTAATTAATGTTAACAAGAGAGACCTCATTGAAAAGTGTTACCAAAATATGTTTAACTTCGTACATACATTTACCAAATTTAATGTTCTTGTTTAATGTTAAATCATCAGATTAATTCATGTTTAATCAATTAAGAGATTAATCATGATTTTTTTTAGTACAAATTTAGTACAAAGACATTTTAAATGATTTCACATTGTCTTTATATCTCAGTGGCATTGGCTTTGGCCCGATCTCTCCATCTCTCAGTCCTCACAAGTCGTTTTCAGTCAGCCTATCACAGACCTTAACATTGCTAATATATACAGCTGTACCAAGTCTGCAGCCTCACTCACAATCCCATGAGCACACTCAAAATATCTCCACTCCTGCCATGCCAAGTCCCCCCTGACCTTTATCTCGGTTGGATGAGTTTTGACAGAGCACATATTTACACAGTTAAAGGGATAGTTCACCAAATATGAAAACTCATCATCATGTCATCACAAACCCTTTTTATCTTTCTTCCATAAACAACAAATGGAGATGCAATGCAGAATGTTCACGCTGCTCTGTTAAATGCTGTCAAGGTCCAAAAAGGCACTCGGTTGCACTTTATTTTAAGGTGTCCTTGTTACAGTGTAATTATACATTTAAGTACTGAGTAATATTAATTAACTACATGTACTTACTATACGGTTATGGTTAGGATTAGGGTTTGGCTTAGGGTTACTTGCATGTAAATATGCAAAATCTATTGCTATTATAATAGTAAGTACATGTAACATGTGTAACAAGGAATAAAGTGTTACCAGGCACTTTTAGTTACATTTAATTGCATGTTATTTGAAATTAAGTTAAAATTTAATTTATAAAAAATGAAATTTTGATATTCAGAGTGCTTTTTTTGACCTACCTAAATACATCTTAATATGTCATTTCATAATTATTTCTATTGTTTTTGAAATATGGTTCATGTGTACTGACGAATGAACTGACAAGCATTTATGGTAAACTAAAATATACTTTAATGTAATTTCTATTGAAACCATGTAATGTATTTAATTATATTTGTAATTACACATTTTAGTGCATTTAAAATATATAAACTTTTAATGTAACATTGAATAACATGCTATTTACAATTATAATCAAGTACTTTACTGTACTTTAGAATGTTAGAATAAGTGTACTTTAAGGGTTAGTTCACCCAAAAATGAAAATTCTGTCATTGATTACACGCCCTTATGTCATTCCAAACCCGTAAGACCTCCATTCACCTTCGGAACGCAAATTAAGATATTTTCTTTGCACACAAAAAGTATTTTCGTAGCTTCGTAAAATTACGGTTGAACCCCTGATGTCACATGGACTATTTTACCGGTGTCCTTGCTACGTTTCTGGATCTTGATGTTGGTAGTGACCTTGCTGTCTATGGGAGAGTCAGAGAGCTCTCGGATTTTATCAAAAATATCTTAATTTGTGTTCCGAAGATGAACGGAGGTCTTACGGGTTTGGAACGACATGAGGGTGAGTAATTAATGACAGAATTTTCGTTTTTGGATGAAAATCCATTTAAAGCATGCCAAAAGATTAAAACAAAATGATTTAAAATGCACTTTAAAGTAAAACTTTTATTTTGACATTATTACAAAGTGCACGTTTTGTCTTTTATCTGTTAAGAAACATATTCATTAACGTATTTGTGAAAACATGAAAGTGTACACTTAAGAGGCCTTTTATTTCATTAAGATTTTGCAATTACAGTTTAAGAAATACACTTTTAACATTTAAAGTACACTACAAGTGCACATGCAATACAGTTAAGCACACTTTTCACAAGTGAATAGCAGTCCATGTTTAACATTTAATTTTAGTGTACGGAAAAGAGTCTCCTCTTATATTCCATGTAAGAATAAAATCATGCAGGGTTTGGAACAACATGGGGGTGAATAAATGATGACAGAATTTCCATTTTTGAGTGAACCATCCCTTTAAGGAGCGTTTTCCTCATTTTTTTCAAGCACAGAGCAAACCTGTGCATGTCTTCACATGGCCACACACGCGTAACCTCTTATGTCACCATGCTTTTGTGTCACAGTTGACAGTGTGGAGTTTCATAACATTAGTGTTTTTTAGAAAGCGTATACACATTTTGAGCCTAAAGGCTTTGAGATGGCGAGGCCTGGCGTTATACGGCCAGCTCATTGTGTGCTGGTCAGGGTGGATTGATTCCCACTGCGTTAGATGTGCAGAAAGTGGCTGGTGGCCAGAACAAATTGAAATAGCGTGGTCCATTCTCTATTCCGTCTGAAGCGTCGAGTCAGGCTCTCTGAGGAGCAGCACCGCACACAGGGATGAAACAGGGGAGATGAGCTCAAATCTGAATCCAGAGCTCACAGGAGCCATTCACAGCACCGCTTTCATCTATGTGTGCGAAGCAGACAATTACCAGCTATTAGGAAGAAGCACTGATGCTGATATACCTCCGTTTTTGTTTTTCACACTGCGTCATTTCCATATAATTTCCTGTATAAGAAGAGGCTGGTCTCTGGAGAACAGATCGTTGCGTTTGTCAGTTCAGATCCAAGGGTTCCTGCAGGTGTGTGGATGTGATTCCAGCTGAGTTTTAATCACCTGTATGGCTCTAGCTGATTCATTTGCTGCTGATTTCAGTGTGCTGATGCAGTTGTGAGCCATTTTTAACCACGGAGGGTAAGCTTCCCTCAGGACGTGCGTTGTGCAACAGTGTCTTTAGGGATAATGAGCAACCAACCGAGCCTTAATTTTGACACCTGCCTGCCTACATTTATTTCATTGTCTCAAGAGTTAAAATAGATGCAGCATTCCTCTGCTGCTCGAGAACAGCTGAATAATAGATATAATTAGATTGCACATAATCACTTTTCACTCCCACAACTGAAAAGTAAAATGGTATTCAGTTCATAACATATCATCTTTTTGAGTGTTTGATGGCACATGATTACTTTCTCATAAAAGTAAGAAGTACTACTGTACAATCAGGTTGTCATTATAGCAAAATAAACCCTAACCGAATGACCAGGATTAAGTCTGGTATCAGCATAAAAGGGTTTATTTTGCGATAATAACTGTACATTATTCTTCTTACAGCTACTTACTTGCATATATAAATAGATAAATAATAACTTTATCATATAATAATAATTTATTTATTTATTTAAAGACTTCAGATGCAAGTATGTCTGAGATTTTTTTTCTTTTAAATGAGCATTTTTATCAGGCTCCTATCAGGTTCCTTATTAAATCTTACCAGATTCAGTAATTTCACTTTAATTGCAAAGAGAAGGTTATAGTCAGTAATTTGAATGCCTTATTTAAAAAAAATGTCCAGTGTTATTTTCATAGGAGCCTGATAAAAATGCTCATTTAAAAGAAAAAAAATCCCAGATTAGAGGTTTTTGCATCTGAAGCATTCATTCATTCAAACAAATATTGATAAAATATTATTATGAAATATAAATAATATATTATTTAAAATATTAACATTTTACTTGTAGATTCATATTTAAATATATTATTATTTAATATATAAATAATACATATTTTAAAAAATATTAATACATCACTTGTAGATTAGCTTAAAGCTTCTGCAAAGAAAACCAATTTATAATATCATAATGTTAATCTATTATTAATATTCTGCAATGTTTTCTTGCTTTAACTGGGCACTCTTTCGCTGCGTAAAAGGTTATGCTTACCATTAAATTAGTACTGAAGTCAATTTATGTTTAAAAGAAGTCACAAAATGCTGCAGTTGCAGGACAAGCTGCCATGGATAATCATGAATCGGACACTTTATTGTTATACATTAGGGCATAATTTGTGTTGGAGTGAGACTGTAGACGTATACGAGAGATGTGAAAGTGGCATTGGACAAGCTGCCATGGATAATCATGAATCGGACACTTTATTGTTATACAAAACCATTTGTATAATACTCCATGTCATGATTGACCAATCAGAATCAAGATGTCCAGAGAACTGTGTAATATAGAACAAACATTAAACCACCACCATGACTCTCTTATATCCAAGATTAAAATGACTAATTGCAAAAACAGTCTACAAAGAAACCCTTCCCTGTTCTGGAAGAGTCTGACAACATGTAAGAAACCTGCTGACTTATTTTGTACATTTTAATTGGTAGCATGAGGAGCAGGGCAGAAAGGTCTTGTGCAATCGAAGAGGCATCAGTGTAGTCGTGATGTTTAAGAACTGCGTTTTGATGCTGGATGAAAATGTTGAAGCATCATTCGCATGTGAATAGACTGTGTTTTCTTAATGCAATTCAATTAGATGCAACGTATGAATGATATTAGCATAGGCATTTCAGCTTTTCCTGCAGTGAAAAGCCCTACATAATGTAGGAATATAACACATTTTAAAGGCAAGAATCACTGTTATTATTTTTTATATGATGGGTTGAGGATTTCAAGAAACCCATAATACTAAGTATACATTTAGGTTTGTTACTCATCCCACTTTGTTTATACTATGGACAAGAATGATACTTCAAATCATGCTGCTTGCTGAGGGGAGGTGCTATTATGGACGATGAAATAAGTTAAATAAACCTATAGACTTACAGTTATAACGGGACCTGAACCATCTTTGGAGGAGCTGTTAAGAATCCACTCAGAACACCGTAACAATGTTCAGTTAGGAACATGTCAGAGAGCTTCATGTTATTGTACAACACACTCTTAAACTGAAAAAGATGAAGACTATGATGTGGTGATGGCAAACTCTGAGCTATTCTTTCTATTCATCTTTATTGATGGTCTCCAGCTGGTCTATGGGAGTTTCAGATGGACCAGTGTCAGCCTCTTTTACCCTAGCCTTTTTTCTCACTCCACTCACTTGATCCACCAATGCAGTATCGCCAATGCCCTCTTGTTTACACGAAGACTGCGAATCTGACAGTCGTTCTTCTAAATCATATTTGATTGAGGCCTTATTAGAGCCCAACTTTTCAGTAAGACGGGATACTTTTGTGAGTTGTTTTGTTCTTCGAACTTAGCAATACATTCAGCTCGTTCTTGTGTTGTTAATAAAGTAAATTCTTTGTTGCAGCCTTTTATATTTTTCTTTTTTCCATTCTTCAAGAAACCAAATCTGTTTTGGATCCCATATAATACTATATTTCTTGTCAAATTCTGTCACTATTGACTCCATTCATTCTTCTAACAATTATCTGAACTCACTGTCTGTCCATTAAGAAGTAGCTACACGCTTAAATATAAAAGGGGGGTTTTGCAGCGATGACATAAAAACCACTTTTGAACCTTTCAGTGATTAGTTCTTTAAAGAGCCATTTTTTCTTAGTGTGAAGAACATCTTCCAGTCTGAAGAACCTTTTTGTGCAATGGAAAGATTCCATGGATGTTAAAATATTGATGCCAATGAAGAACCTTTATTTTTAAGACTAAAGTCCACCTTTCTGGAATTCCCTGTAGAGGTAATTTGCATAGAGTAACACTCAACAAATAATAGTTTAGCTGAAAAGGTTTGAGTGATGTTAAGCGAGAAGCTCCATCCAGGTCACGGCACCAAAACTGTGGAAATTCAGAAGTAAAGACCAGGGTTTTCACACTTCAGCAGGATTCTTTATCGAGAACCTGCTGTTTCAGTCTAAAGGCCCTGATTTATTTGAAGCAAAATCAATGAATGGTACTGGTGGGATGTCATTTCAAACAAAATCAGGCCAAAAAGAAGTTTGTTTCAGGAGTTCTCAACAGCTTGGCAAAGTGAACTTTCCATAAAAGTTTGTTCCAGCTGGTAAGAACATTTGAAATACCATTGGTCCGTGGCGATTACAGAAATCTTTTCAGGTTCATTTCTTTTGTTCAGTCCGTCAAGGTCAGTAAAGTAAAAACAAGAACACGCTGGAGAGCTGCTTTACAGTAATTCTCATTGTACTGTAGTGACACTGTTTTTCATGTTTAATACTGTAAAGCTGCTTGCTTTAAACCAATATATTGTATAAAGTGCTACTATAAAAATTCTATTCTGCAAATGATTCTTTATGAAGGGTGTTACATTTTTGGGTGTTATTTTTGACCTCCCATTCCCTGGGCAGAATAATCAGAAGCTAATAATGAGATGAGCATATGAGAAAAATATTACTCTCATTCCTGAACATCTGCATTGTTTGTGCCGTCTCGATCACAGACAGGGGCCTGTGAAGCCAGAGGTTCTGCCCATTCAGTGGTCAGGAAGGAGATCTAATCGAAGACTTCAAAGGAATAACAGCTTGTCTCCGAACAACCCACTTCTGAACCTTGTCAATTCAGGTGATTATTCTGAGCCTCAGTGCTCTGGAGGAAGAAAAGGGCACATACACACAGCCAGTGGGCATGCAGTTGACAGCAGATCTGGAAAGAAGTTTAGGTAGGAGGGATTGTGAAGAACGACTATGGGAGAGACTCCAGAGAAAGAAGAGGACAGTCTAGGACCTTTTAAAGAGAACTAAATTATTACATTATTGTAGTAATATGGCTATTCAATAGATTCTTTTTCCATTTTATTATTTCTATATAGTTTGAATTTTGACACAATTTAAAAGTGAATATTCCTGATAGAAAATTTGATAAGGACATAAAAAAATGTAAAAGCAATTCTTTAGAGAGCATGTGATAAAACACACTGCCAAAATAAACTCTCCCAAAACAGTTCATTTGATCCCAACTCCGTTACATTCAGTCCTAGAGCATTATGGCAAGAGAGCAAGAGAGAGAGCTGTATTTGTGTGTTTCTGCAGGTCTGTATGAAGAGGACAATCAATGGATAACTCAGATCAACAGACTGCAAAAGCTGATCGACCGTCTCGAGAAAAAGGCAATAGGCTACACAAATGATTTCTGTCTTTCTCATTATAATGCTTTTTCTCTCTCTGTCATCAATCATCCTTCTAACTTTACAATTCATTTGAGGGTAAAACCTGTCAAGAATATGTCTTAAGTCATATAGTCATATTATAAAATATAAAATTTTATTTAAGCTTTAAGCTTATTTTAAAGCTATTTTAAAACACCTGGTAGTAATTATTCTACTTTCCTTAATGTTTGCTGATTTAAATAAAACAATATTGCATTATACTAATGAGAATCTAATGAAAATCACTATTGAGAATAATGAAATTTAAAAAAAAAACAATTACAGTAATGAGAACGAGATTGTCGCATTACTCTGATATGAATTATATTTCTTGCATTACGGTAATACAAATTTTGAGGTAAAATATCCTTAAAATATACTTATTATTAAAAAAATTATTCTCCTAAAAGCAGGTTTAATTTTTTGAATGCAAAATACAAAATGAACACAAAATGGCTTGTGTTTCTTTCATAGGAACTGCGTTTGGAGCCGGTGGAAGAAGAGGTGTTGGGAAGTTCCACCAAATCAGTAAGTCATTTATGGTCACCCTGTATGTCACTGTATTCTCAGAAAATCATTCACAGAGACCACAGACGCCTGCCGTCTAGGAAACAATGGGGATCGAGAAACTAGTTCCAAGTTATTCTTTTTGATTTCCTTTTTTCTCCGTCTATCACTCTTCCTCTGCCATCTTTTGCACAGTACTTTGAGAGAGCTTTTCTCTGAGGCTCACAAGATGCTGTCGACATACAGTACTATAAATAGGTGGTTTGTATGTCTGTGATTCTGTGCTTGTGAACGCCAGGAGAAGAGTGGTACTCGGACCCCTGCGGAGACTGGCTGT